CCTATGTATCCAGGCAAAATGGTGTTAGTAGTGCGGGAAGGGAGTCGTTATAAGGCATTAAAAGCGAAAGAGCTCAGGTCTGCTTTTGCTCAGGCTGACAAAGGGCCGCTCGACAGAGAACAACGTCTTGCAAGGCTGTCAGAGCATTTCCTTGCCTGCACCTTGCTGCCCAGGAAGGCGAGGTGTACCTGCACAGTGTGGGGTACTGGCATCAAGCCTCGTCGCACTGGCAAAGCCACTGACCTTAGGCCTGCTGAGCACCTTCTGGCTGCCCGCGCGCTCATCTCCCAGCTGCGGTCCCATGTGCCTCCGCGTTTGGCCCAAAGGCTGCAGGACTCGCCGCGTGCTTCCCTGAGCAGCATGCTCATGAGCACATTTCAGAATGAAGCACCACAAACCTCCCTCTGCTTCCAGGTCCTCTGTGTGCCATTTGGACCCTTTACCCTCTGCCCAAGCCCCACTCAAAACTTACCTTGAGGTTAACTCAGTGGTTTCTCTTGAGTGACACAGATCAGGGGCTGAGGCTTCCCCAGACTTGTTACACACCAAAGCCAGCAACTTCTCACCAGTGAAAAGGTACACGGAGAGATTCTCCACATCTCCACAGGAATGGACTTGACAAAACCGCATTACTTTATGAGGAACATTCCCCAGCGTATGGTTTCCTCCATCTCATGTTGGTCTTAGGCAAAAGAGAAGGAACAGCTCTACAAACAGAGTGTCTACAAACTTTTTTTTTCAGTGATTTTCTAGCTTTTAGTGTAAAGGAAACAACCTACACACACAAAATTCTTGTGCTATGGATTTATAATAACATTTTATTAATATATTATGCTACAAAAATATTTTGACAAAATAATATTAGAAAGCATCTTTTTATTACACTTCTCAAAACACTTCATGAAAGCAGGAGGCGGAACAGGAAAAAATATTTGAAATACATTTGAATTAAAAACTGACAAACATGCAACTTAAAATTCAGTGTGAACATGTATCTGCAGGATGGTCAATTACTCCTGTAGAAGAAAAGTATTGACTACTTATTGGAAAGACCTTTCTGTTGTTAGCTAGATTAAGGTGCCTCCTGAAAAGCTAAGTCACAGGAAGGGCTGTGTGTGGGTTGGGACAAAACACACATACACATGTGTACAAATGTATTTATATGCATGTGTGTGCACATCCACACCCCACCCCCACCTCACCATGGTCTCAAACTTGGGCAGTTACCTTTCCACTTCAGTTAAGCTGAAACAAGCTGAAATTGAAGCTGAACTCTAGCATGCTCCATGGAACATTGATCACTTCAGAGATATGACAAGCCCATATACTTTTTGAATATAGTATAGGAGAATGGTACTAAGCAAAGTTTGGAAAGATAACATTTATGCTGAGCTAATGACTTTGGCGCTTTGGTTTCTTTAACATAAATATATGATGGGAAATTCCTCCCTAACAGTGGTATATGGTAATGACTGCATCATATCGTTCAACTAATCAATGCACTAAAGACAGATTAAATTCTCCCTCTTCCCATCTCTCTCTCCCCACAATCATATATCTAAGAACTTAGATAAATAAACAACCTTGTACCTTGGGTGTTCCTAAATTACAGTGGAGCTTGGAGAAATGGGAAGGGAAGTTCAACAAAGCAGATTTTGACACCTGCATAAAGCATAGTTATCATAAATCATGTTCATCATTTATTGCCAGAAGAGGTATTGCATAATTCAACAGCCTGAGGGATTGTAGAGAAACTACATCAGTCATAAAATATAAAATACCTTCTGTCCTAGTGGCAATGCATGTTAATACAGAATCCACAGTTAAATATAGGCAAGAAAAGCATTAAAACCATTGAAGAATGGATGTTAGACCTGTGGCTGGTGGTTTGGGATATTTATTCCACCAGGACAAGAGCTCGGCAGATAATTAGCATTCGTTTATAATGTTACAGTTAGATATAATGTGAACTGTATTTGTGTCAGTGGTAGCTGAGTCAAAAAGATGAATCATACAAACATCCAGCTTTGGACTCATCCAAAATCATGTCCTTGATTGTTAGACTTTGCCTGACTGTCCTGTGTTTCCCAGAAGTAAACAGTATCCCCAGCACTTACTATTTTATATAGCAGGCATAGATATTTTTGTTGAATCTCCTGCTTTTGGAATCCTGTGATTACATGGAAATCTGAGCTTCCCTTCAGAAGAAAGCAAACAGTTGGTTCCTAGTTTTCTGAGAAACCCACAAAGAACACTGAAGTCCCATGAAGCTGGTAGTCAGTGTTACTTCAAAAACATCCATCAGATTTGATGCACATTTTTTAAACTCATGTGAATAGAATCATGAACCATTGCAATGGATGTGTGTAGATCTGTGCTAACTGGTATTGGTGTATTTTAATTAATACTGGGCTGCTGTAGTTGATTAATAAATAACCCCTTTTATCAATCACAGTGAAGGTCTCATTTTCCAGTATTGCTATGCTTACATGCCATGTACTGAAAAAAGTTACCCTACATTGTACTTTAGGCTAAGACAACAGGATAAAATGTTTATTTAGAGACCTGTGTGGAAGCCATTCATATGGGGTTCCTGAGCCAGGATCTCCAGGAAGCTACTGAAGCTTGTATTTGTTTTAAGTCACGTCTTCTCCTTTAACCAGAGAAGGCTCAGATAACTGAATGAGATGCTTTCAGGTGACAGAAATCAGGTGTATGGCAGCTCCAGTGCCAGGAAGACACCTTGCTTTGATGCCTGCGCTGGGTATGACAAAAAAGGGGCACCAACACATGAGAAATTCAGTGAGCCCCAGTAACAGCTATTCATTTCATGGAAGTATGGACAAAATGCCAGGAAACGCAAATATATTAAAACATACCTCGCTATCCAAGCTATTTATATATACTGATATCCAAATATACCATGATATTTGAGCTAATGAATATTGAATATTAGTCTAGTGGAGGAGTGACTCAAGAGGAAAAAAACCCAACACATTAGTAACAGGGTGACTATTTTGTGCAGTATGACGACAGCTGTGAGTGTGGAGATATCTGTGTGCTCCTAATATATATATAAAAAAAAAAAACAAAAACAAACAAGCCAAAAACACAACCCAGAGACTTAAGGAAAAAGCCACAGCTTGGGAAACTAGAGAACTGTAATTTCTAGTCTTGGTCCTGTTAGTGGTTTCCCTTATGGTCTTGGGCAAGTTGTTTCTGTTTTCTGCTCTTTTCTCTCTCCCTTATCTTTATGCGGTCTTGTCTATTTATACTGTAAGTTTTCCAACACCTGGAATTACTTCTGGGGTAGTACCACAGAATAATTTCTGGATTCGATCAGATTACAACAAATAAAATTCAATGGGTTTTGGTTCGCTGGCTGTTCGCTTTTACTATGTAACTTATCATCACCCTTAAGATTTGCCTACCTTATTTCCAGTCCCATTTTTGTAAATAAGACATTATAATTCAGTTCTGAGCTCTGTCTTGAATACGGCAGGAGAACCAATCATCTTTTTAAGAGCATTAAGGTTGAATTTGAAGGTCTGTTAAGCTATTATATTCAAATGAAGGCATTTCTAGGGTAATAGCTCAAATAAAACCAAAATGAAAATTCTCAAAATATGTTTCCAATATCCAGCCCTGTGCAATAAATATTATGCAAGGTGAATGGCTTCTGTCCAAAACTAACATCTCTGATCTTCCACTAGCCAAAATACACAATATAAAAGTATGCACAGGGTGTGCTTGAACCCCACATTCGGGGCGAAGCTCAAAGTTTTCCATTCAGCCTCATCAACTGTTGTGCTTGAAAAAAATAAGGGTCATTTTACAGCACTGTCTGCTGCACTCACTTAAACTGACCACAAACCTACCCAACCTTCTGTAAAAAAACAGAGCAAAGGATGGGGGTCATGGCATGCAATAAGTGAAAAAGAAGATACCTGTATTGTCCCTGGCATTTGGCAAGGCAATAGGTGGGGATGCATGATGGAAAACCTCAGCATTTCATCATGGTTTCAAATAAAAACATGTGTTTTTTGTAGTCTAGCTATTTTCTAACCTACATTCCTGAATTAACTGATATCATGACAAACAAACTCTTAATCCTAAACTATTCCTTACTGCAGAGACTTGAAGGTTGCATGGAATCATCTGCAGGCCTGGAGACCAGGCTGTAGGGATGGTGGGAAATGGACATGACTGGTTTCAGTAAAATTTTGCTCAGTAGTATCATGATCATCATCATTGTCATCTAACTTTTTTGAAGGTGGAAAAGCACTGTTTTTTTTGTAAAGAAAAGTTTCTGTTGTATTTTTCTGGGTTTTGACTCTTTTAACTAAGATGGTCTCATCACACATTTTGAACTTTCGATTTGTAGATAACTTAGAAAGAAAAACACTATTTCCAACGAAGATTAACTTTCTGCTTAAAACTCTTATAGCCAAAGGGATTTTTCATCATGTTTTGTTGGGGAAAAAAATCAACACGCCTTATTAAAAAAACATTTTTTACGATGGACAATTTTTTTTTCCCCCCATAGATCTTCATGACTTTAATGAAAAGTAGCTTCTTGTATAGGGAGCAAATATTTCAGAGAGTGTAAGGTGTCATAACTTTTCAACCTAAGACAACAGAGCTACCATAGTCTACAAATGGAGGAATGTTCTGAAAGTCTTCATGACACAGGGGTTAATTTGGTTCCTGTGGTCTTGAACAGATCTTTGACAAGACACAATTCAGCACAGAGATAGAAACTCTAAGCATCATAATAGCATGATGAAGAGGAATTTGTAGATGTCTTTTTTTTCCCTTCCAGGTTGTCCATCTGCATTAATACCATTGGTACAAAGAAGTCCTACAGATTAACAGGATACTGCGTCTTTATACCCTATAGACAGACCAAGTTCTGTTCTTACTTACACTGGGAAAGGTTGTATGCTTATGTTTATAAAACATGAGGGAGGGAAGAAAATAATTCCAGTGGGATTATTCCAGACTTTAAAAGCAATTATTTTATTAAGAAAAAGGTGTCTTAATTTGCATTAGCTAATTAATTTATTCTGGGCAAAAAGGGAATTAGATAATTTTAAAGAAGTTAAATAGCTTAGTTAAAGACAACAGGGGAACTTAGAGGGTTATCCTGTCTAATGACTCAATAAGTCATATAAAAATAACATATTTTAGGCTGCAGCAGCTAACGAGTGAAGAATGCACCTATTTTTCTAACGGACATAGGCCACAGAGAGCAGGATCTGCTTTATTCAGTGTAAGCTATGCTAACGAGATTAGAAAGAGTGAAATAAAATTCAGCGGAAATGTACTTATTGGACAGTTGCTGTAAAATTAATGGTTAAAGAAACAAAGAAGGCATTCGTTTGGTGTCAGTTCATTTGCAGAGTTGTCAGTTAGAAAACAAATATAGAAAATATTAATTTATCTGTTTCACCATCGCTACTGATTAATAGGGATGTTATTAACATATACAACAAGAAAAATAAGTTTACCAGTCGAATAAATACATTTTTTCTTTTTCTTTTTTCTTTTTCTGTATATGAACACGTGTATTTTACAAAACCCCATAGCACTATGGGAAATAAAGATCCTTCTACAAAAAGAAGATGTAAGTCAGTGTTACAATAAAGCTTTAGAGTTTCAAAATGTATCTGGGCAAAGAGACAAAATCAGCTAGAAGGCACTACTGAGTCACTGAGAAGGTCCAGCTTGCGGCTGTTGTTGTCTTAACCTCCAACTTGTTCATAAATTATCTCTCTTCTCTATCCCAAGGGATTGCACATAATACTAATGTGGTCAGGAAGGCTGCAGTAGACTCCGGAGAAAAGAAGCCATGGCCACGCAGAGAGGAGAAGTTACTGATGGCCATAAGAGGCTGGCTGAGGCTGAGCTTGTCGGCTGAGGCTGGGATGGGCGATCTGGCCGCGGTCTCTGATCCAGGCGGTTTGAAATCCAAATGGGAGGCTTGACCGTGATGTAGCCATTGGTTATCCTGATATAGGAAGGCAATGTGGTGGTGCTGAAAGAAAACACAAGAGAAGGAAATTAAGCAGGAGAACCCTCAACTCTACTCTGTGAGCTGTTGATAGTAACAACAACAATTTCAATCACAATTTTTATTTTTGCTTGCACGCATTTGACATGCAGGGAGAGGCCCAGGGGCTGGTCAGAGTGATGAGTTGGAAACGGCTCGAATTCAGGATGTCCTTCAGCTTCTGGCAGCTGGTAGAATACAGCCAAAGAAGGGATCATTCCATACATCTAACTTACTTCATTCATCACTGGCTAACATCAGACTGTGGCAAACGTATCTTTGTGCTGACCCAGGACGACTTCATTCTTATGTTCTTAGGTACCTTCTTGTCATCAACGGTCTCAAAATTCGTCACATCTCAGAGACATGTCTTACTCACCCTGGACTGGATACTAAGTCCAGTATGCGCCACAAAACATCTCCCTTCCGTGTTTCACAAGCCATAAGGCATCTTGCAGGATTCCCTTACAGAACTGATAACCTTGAGCACAGGAGACCAAGCAGCTCCATCTCCTTTCCTGGCTTTAAGCCATTTTGGATCAAGTCACAGTACCAAAACCAGACTCAGTGTGAAGTTTCTGTGTCTGTGGATTTGCCTCAATAGTGGTGTGATTGCTTATTGATTGCAGCTTGAGTTACTGCTTTGATTTGAATTTGCAGGTTGGAATTCATCATGATTCCCATGACGCTGAAGGTCAAAAAGGTCCATTTGCAATTGATGTGGAAGTTTTAAGTTGTAATCTCCAATTCATAAAATGCTTCCATTGCATCTATTATTGAATGATCCATAATCCACCAGTTGTCACAGAGCAGCACAACCACGCATGCAAACTGTGCGAGGTGATTGTGGCCTTTAAAACAAGGCATTCTGCTGCGGAGTAAGGAGAAAAAAGGCAAGTTCTCCTGAAACTGCAGATTCTCTGTGTTACTTTCTAAATCTTCCATGGAGAAAATTTGGAGGCACTGAAAACGATGATCAAGTAAATTTTTATGGGATAAGAAGCTATGCAGTCCTATAAATATTTAGCTATAGTATCTGAGGTCCTGACCTTGGAAGATAAAGGCTGCGTAATAAAAAGAAGAAAAAGGTATTGCATGATATCAGATAGAAGGAACAATACCTTGCTCCAAATTCATGGACAGAAATAGAATTTAGTAGCACTGAAGGCTTTTGTCTTTTTCTGTCTAAGCAATACCAAGATAGCTTTTGGCTCAGATGCTTCAAATGAGTTGAGTCAATCACAAACTGTGAGAAGATCAGAGTCTACCCAGAAGGCCTCTGTGGTAAACACACATGCAGGTCTACATCAAACCCAACAGTCACTGCACATTACACTTCACCCCAGGTTTTAGGATAATTAACTTAATTTCTTCCCTCATCCTTTATACTGTCACCACATCTTCTGGGAGGGATAGCTGTTCTGTAGCTAGAAGTGATCTTAACAAATGTGCAATGAATTAGAGTAAAAAGAACAGGCAGTCTTGAATTAAAAACATGGGAATTGCTTCATGGGGGCAGATAATCCATCTAACCAGTATTAGGACTTTTGACAGCAAGAAGCGGTGCTTGTTCCAGAGAAACAAACTGCTGCAAGTAGAGAATTCTGAAATCAAGCCTTACTGAAGAAAGCTCTTATCTAAATTCCCATGGTGAGTGGTTGGTTTATGTCTCGAACGGATGATACAAGACTGTACAGAGCTGTAGAGCTTCTGCTCTACTGCATCAAAACAGGTACAGTCACTTCATCCAAAGAGCTGAGCTGGGATAAGCTAACGGCGCTGCTTCAAATTTGTCCAGCTTTTTTTGAGCAGTCAATTTAGTGCTGGCAAGAAAGATATGAGATTAGGCACTGTGTAACCCAGCTCCCGTGATAGATGGAACATCAAGTATAAATGGTCTTCCCACAGCAAATACAAAGCATCATTAAAGCATACCTTGGACAAAACTAGGTACTACACTCTCTGAATAATGCAACAGAAATGTAGTCAGGCCCCAGCTCCAAATCATGCAGATCTCATCTGTCCTTGCAGTGATGCTGTGATGCACAGATCTGGCAATACTGACAGTGGGATCACAATTTCCCCCCCCCGTACCAGTTTTCCCTAAGGCAAGTATGGGTAGGTGCTTGTACTCATCTCTTGTTAACTTTTTGTAACTTTACAGAATTACACAGTTTGGTCCTAAATTAAATTCTGTACTATGAAGAGGGTCTAGTTTTCAATTTCAGTTTCAAAAACATCACCAAAATGCCATTCAGACTTGCAGTTTAGGTGTATCCTGCTCCTGACACATCTATGGGCTTGACCCTCCAGTGAGATTTAAACAGTCCCTGTGCCAACTGCCCTTCTGCACCTCAGGGATGTACTGTGTGAGGTGTCTGGTGTAGAACACAGCCTGGCCAGGGAACCTATGGAAGAGCCACAAGGCCCATTCATCAGCCAACTACATCTAAGGGATTCCTAAATCAGCCTTAAATCAACATTTTACATTTCTGTATGACGTTTCCATTTTCTAGTCAACTGTTAGAAGTGTTTTTGTGTTTGTTTTTTTTTTTTTTCCTTGAAAACAATTTTTTCTTTTTTTTTTAAATCCTACACTTAAAATCCCAGGGTTTCCTATCACAACACCTGTGAATTTTTGACCACTCTTCTCAGCCCACAAGGTCATTTTCTGTTTTCAAGAAATTAGACTTCTGTAAGGGCTTCCTTGTTAAGATAAATACTGTAAAGTAGAATTGTTTTTAAAAAATCCTTATGTGCTTGACAAGAGAAGAACAACTCATTGCTATTAATATGTACAAAGCATGTTAACAGCAAATGACACATATATGTGTTTAACACATATGGTTAAACACAGTTTAACCATATGAAACATTTTCCTAAATGCAGCTCTACTTTTAGCTGACTGCCAAGGTGGTTTAGAGATATTTAAAGAGAATGATCCCTTCTACCAAATGCTACAAAACTCCTCGTAAAACCTTTGGTCCAAGTTTGTAATTAGGCTGTTTATATAGTGAATGAAGAGAGAACCCTCTCCAGAAGATGTTCCACAGCATTCTGCTGCAGTTCTCTAGGTGGTACTTATTCTTGCTCAGGGTCTTTCTCTTCCTAGGGGTTACAGAGGGGTCCTAGACAGCCACGTTAGATTACAACCTAACCTTTGAGGTGCCCCTGGTGCCAGGAGGTGACCTCTCCAAACTCCCTCTGAGCATGTTTGCACATGCACACAGGATCTCACTGACCCTCAGACCTTCCCTAAGGATGAAGGCAGCAGCAAAGTCCCCTGAACTCAACCAGAAGCCTTCCATTGTCCTCAGGGAGGTTTTGATCATTCATGAAATGAACACAGCAAATAATAAAAATGAATCATAGATCTGAGGGTTAATAATCTAAATTATTATCACGCCTTCTCTTGCCAGCCCAGGATATTCTGTATTTCAGTCTTTTGTGTCTGATAAAAATATCTTTAATAAAACATTCCACATGATCTGTGATGAACAGGCAACCACTGGCTCCACTGTTCATACCTCTCTTCTTTGCTTCTGTGTATGGGATTGTTTTAAAAACTTGGAAGGCTCCAAGTATCTGTTAGCCAAATGACCTGCGGTATCATATTCATGAGCTTGTACTTTTGATCAGATAATAGGGCAGTTTTTCAAATCAGTGCATTAGTCATACATTGTCTTACCATCATTAGACTGTGTAAAACTTTCCCCAAAAATGGGCCCTCAGGCACAGGCTTTGTGAACAGACCCTACAGAATCCAATTACATGACTCAAGTCCTCTACACTGGGAGCATGCTGAAGCACCTTGATGATTTGGGAGCATTTTAAAGCTGAAAAATAAAACAAACACACACACCCCCCCTCTGGGGGAACTTCTGTTCTGGTTTAGCTTGTGAGGACTTTGCAAGGAGCCCCCAAACAAATTTTTAGTGACTTGGTTTACCCACATAATCAGGGCTCATCTGACCACATGTGACACCACAGGAGAATGACAGAAGATAGGACTAGGAGGGACTTGCCGGCTCATCTGTCCCAAAACCAGGAACAAGATTTAAACCCCTCCTGACCATTTATGTCTAATCCAGTCTCAAAAAAACCCCACTGTGATAGCAATTCCAGAGTCTCTGTGGACATCTATTCCAGCATCTCACCACTGCTGATGTCCAGAATGACTGCCTAATGTTTCACCAACTCTCCCTTGCTACAGCACAAATTTGTGACTTCTGTCCCCATGGACAGGTTTTTTCCTTTCCTTTTCTCAGCAGCCCTTTGTGTGTTTTGTAGACTTAAACATCTTTCACATCAGTCTTCTCTCTTTTAAACAAGCAATTCCCTCTGCCTTTCTTTGCAAGTCCTCAGGTGCTTTCCCTTCATCCCTCCTTCTACTCCACCCTGGCTCTGCTGAGTTGATCCGTGTCTTTTCTGGAGCAAGACGCCCCAAACTGGAAACAGTCTGTTCCAGCTGAGACAGTGACAGCAGCTACTGCTTTGTGCAGTGGGTACCACTGCTGCTTCATCTGCAAAGCAGAAGAAAGTAAATGAAAAATAGGCAATCTCCAGGTAGGCAGACTTTTCACTACTTTTTGCCCCCAAAGCCCAAAACACCTTTTTTGTCCCAGTAACTGTTCTGAAGCTCATGGGAAACTGATGGTGCCCCACGGTGAGATGCATTTTTAATCTGCTGCTGTGTCCTGGGTCCCAACATGGTTTCTGTTCAGGGCAGAGGAAGTGACCCTTTTAAGCATAACTTACAAAGTGTTTGGTGATTTTTCTGGATCAAAGGACCTATGCAAACACATGACAACTATTTTTAATAAATGTACACAAATGTGGACTCAGACAGCTTTTCTTACAGTAATATCTGATGAAAGCAGCTTATCAAGACAATGTGCCAGCATAGATTGAACCCTGAAAAAAAAAAAATGCATGTTTCAACTGAAAACCTAAAGAGCTGGTAAACGGAAAAAAATTTTTTGAGT